AGAGCGAAGTGGGGATGGCATAGGGAGTGGACATGGCAGAGGGAGGTAAGTGGAGATGGCAGACGGAGCGAGGATGGGAGAACGATGGCGAGGGATTTCACAATTGAACGAAGAAAAAAAAAGGAGATGGAAGACGGACCGACGAGGGATGGAGGAAAGACAAGGGAGGGGGGAAGAGAAGAACGGGGACAAGCACGAGGGAGGAGGAAAACTACGGCGAAGGAGCGAGGAAGAGGAGGAGAACGATGACGAGGGAGGAGGGGGAAGGGAGAAGGGAGGAGAGAGGATGGAGGAGAGGAGGAGAAGAAAGTGCGACGTGGATGCAAAAGAAAGCCTGCGAACTAAGGAGAGTAGCATGATGACAAGCAAGGGAGGAGGAGAACTATGTCGACGGATGGAGGAAGAGGGGGATAACGATGACGAGCAGCTGCGCATTTCCATAGATAGATAGATAGATAGATAGATAGATAGAGAGAGAGAGAGAGAGAGAGAGAGAGGCTGGCGGTATGATAAGCGGGGGAGTAGGAGAACAATGATGAAGGAGGGAAGAATGGTGAGGAGGAAGAGAAAGTGCCATGTGGACGCAAAAGAAAGCCCGCCAAGAGGAGGATAATGAGGACGAGGAGCTGTGCAGTTTCCACAGGGGGAGAGAGAGAGAGAGAGAGAGAGAGAGAGAGAGAGGCTGGTGGTAACCCACCTGGATACGGCTGCTTCCTTGCCTCGTCCCGCTGCTGCGACCCTCGGCTCCTCGCTGCCTCCTGCTGCTGTTCGAAGCTGGGCAGGGTATGGCTGAACGACGACGTGGGGGGCTGCTTCCTGCTCCGACACACACGAGAAGACACAGCGGCGAGGGCGACACACGGCACGGGTAGGGCTGAGGTTGACTGCCGGGATGGGGCCGAGTAGTTCAAAAACGAACTACTCGGATTTCCCCGCCCTTTCATTTTTGCGGCGCCCCGTGCGGCCTCAATTTTTTTTTTTCTTTTTTGGCTAACCGGCGATGCGAAGTGCCTACCGGCCTTGCAACCCCCCCCCCCCCCCCCCCCCCCCCAACTTTCGTTTTTTTTGGAGACCCCCGGATTTCTGAATGTGCCGCATGTGATGCGCGCGCATCGTGCGCTCTGCGCGTTGCGGCGCACGTGCGCGTTGCAGCGCATGTCGCTGCGCCGCATGTATGGTACTAGTCACAAGCAGTTTTGTGACCTCGAGTCCTGATCGACTCTGCAGTCATAGGGTTTATTCAAGTTTGTTGTTTTTTTATAAAAACTAAGCTATATTCTTCTCTCACTTTGAGTCACTTATACCTCACACTACCGACCCACCCACATTTCTTAGCACCACCCTTCGCCCATGTCAAAGCATCGAGCGGCAAGTCTTTTCCCCAATTGAAAAGTGAAACTTTGTCGAGTGTTTGTCATTCTGGTCTGTGCGCCATGCACAAGCCAGTGCTCCAAACCCTTGGGCCCTTGTTGTTGCTGCTCACACACACACACAAAAAAAAAAAAAAAAACTGGTCCTTCATGCTGATAAAACCCGCAGAGTCGCTACAGGAAAAGAACTTCGTTTTTTAACGCATGATGTTCTACACCTCACGAAAGGCTCTGCTTGATTCGCTCGTCAGAGTTGGTTTGCCCAAGAAATTGCAGGAAACACTTGCCTCAAAGACCTGTTTTGTGATACAAGCCAGAACCCTAAGGTTCTGTTAAAAAAAAACAAAAACAAAAACAAACAAACAAACAAACAAACAAACAAACAAACAAACCAATCGCAGAAAGGTTCCACTGAACACCGTTTTGTCGGTGCTTTGGTCCTATTGATATTAGGTGGAGGAAACTGGAAGGATGTGTGCTTGTCAACTCTAAGAAGCAAGTTGGTCAACCCCACACATTCAATGCGCTGGGCGTGCACTTTTTCGTTTGAGCTTTGAAGTACAAAGAGTCTCCTATGTTTCTTGATCGATTCCGTGACACTTCTTTCGTATTCTGTATGCTGTCTACTGGTCTGAACAGCCCCTGCTGAATTTCTTGCATGAAGAGGTGTTTGGCCAACAACAAAAGTTATGGGAGGCGGCAATCCAGCGGCCTTTTGAAGCGGCAAGGGAGGAAGGGCTTCAGAGACTGAGGGATGTGCTCAAGCGATGTATGATAAGTGCCAGCAAAGCTGATCTCTCCGTAATCCCTCCTTGTCACCGAAAAGTCGTCATTCTCGATTTCATGGACCAGCATGCACAGTCCTACAACGAACTGGTGGAGACTGTGCGCCGCAACATTCTAATGGCAGATTGGAATGATCCAGACCATGTCGAGAGCTTGCTCAATCCCAAGCAGGTTCGTTGGAAGCTCGATCTCAGTCGCTTCTGCCCGTCCTTGATTTAACCTGCCCTCGTTTTGGGAGAAGGTTTTGAGGCACCCCTTATGCCAGTGGTAGTTGCCTTTGCCTGCAGTGTTGTAGCAGATGGAGTTCAGGGACCTCTGGCTTTTCAAACCTTTTGTTTTTTACCAATCCGTTTTTTATTAATAACAAGTGGCTGCCCCCCGCAGATGGGGCCGAGGCCATGAGGAAAAACGAAAAAAAAAAGAAACTTTTAAGAAAGTGAAAAAGGCACAGTTCTGTGTATCTTTTCATTCTCTAGCAGAATATTCATTATCATTTTGCACATTGGGTGTCTAGTGGAGCAAGGCGATATGCACATTTGGTGGCTACTGGATTGAGGTGCTATACACATTTGATGGTTAGTGGAGCGAGCCACTACGCACTTCTGAATTATGGCGGCGTATTTTTCCATGCACTAGGGGACGATTCATTCTGATTTGGCATCTATCGTCTGAACTCTCAATGTGTCGACTAGCTAACCATCATCTCAATACTGCCTTGCTCTGTTGCTCCACAGTGTGCTTTCTCTGTGCTGCGTCATGTGGTCATTTCCGGGATGCAATCTTTGTTTGAAAGGTTTTTTTGCATTGTCTCTGATTTGCACTTCTGTTCCAATTGTCCGGCAGTGGAGGCTTAGCAGGGCAACGATAAACAACATCAGACTGTCATGCTGTGTCGCCGGTCACATGCGGATACGGGATATCCCTGGTGATATTGACGAGACCATGGGAATTCTTGCGGAGCGTGGTATTGCGCCAAACTCTGACCGTTTTGCAACAATTAAAAGCACTCTCAAGCATGGTGGCAACTGCGATCGATGCGAGCAGTGGAGCAGATTGCCGTTGATCACGCCATGTGGGCACATTTTGTGCTTGAGTTGTGTGAGCCTCGACAGGGAGAAGTGTACATACTGGGGATGCCAGCACCCGTACAAGATGCAAAGCCCTGCAGATTTGCAAAGGCCAGAAAATCCATTTCCAAAATGGCCTGTGCCACAGGATCTGATTGAACTTCAGCCGTCTTATGCTCAGGTAATGGAGTGCATCTCCTCTTGATGGTAGTCTTTGACTTTTTGTTGTTTTTTGTGAGGTTACGGCCAGAGAACCCATTTCCAAAATGGTATGTGCCACAGGATCTGATCGAACTGCAGCCATCTCATGCCCAGGTTATGTAGTGCATCTCTTTTTGAACGTATTCTGTATGCCTCCATATTGTCTTACGTTTTTTAAGGTGATGTCATCGTGTTGTTGCTTATGGGACCTCAGACAAGCAAAACACATTCTATTTTGCTACTCAGGTTTCTGTTGTGTCCCTGCTGTCTTCCCACGAATGTAACACCCTTGCATCATGACTTTTTTGGACCATATGCTCATGATGATAGGGCATGAGGTAGTACTTCCTTTTTTTTCTTTTCTTCTTTTTTTGTCATTATTAAATGATTATTTTGAAGGTAGTACTTCCTAGGGCTGTCATACTCGTCTCCTATCATATTTTGAAGGTAGTTCTTATTTGGAACATCTAGGACTGTCATACTCGTCTCCTATCATATGAATGCCCTCCTTTTTTAATTTTTATTTTATGCTGTTAAGAAACAGGATAAGAAAATCAGATGAATGTCCTCATCACTTGCATGGAAGGTAGCACTTCCAACGCCCTCAATAGGTAGGTAGAGGCTTCAATGAGCATATGCCAAATTGCCCTTTTATTTTGTTTTCCTCTCATCTTTTGCTGCTGGGAAAGAATCTGCTACAGTGGCTGCCTGTTCCCTCTGCCATTCTTTGAGTCTCTCTCCCATTCCTAGGCACAAGTTGACTTACACCAGCAGTGCCATCGAATGTGGTATGTATGTCCCACATGGAGTCTCTGCGGGCTGCTGTGCCCGGACACCGTTTCGGGTACCACTATCGACTGACCTCTGTTTCGGGCCTCGGTCCAGTCATGTGGCCGTTTTGCATCCACGCGTGTTATGTTCTTGTCTGTATTTGAGTCATGTAATCTTTTTTTTTCTGACTCTTTTATTTTCTGAGTTCCCTTTTTTTTTTTCAGAAGAAAAAATGTTAAACAACGATTTTTTCCTTTCATCTTTGTCACTTGCAACTGCCTGGAGATGTCATCACTGAACTGACCGGCCTCAGGAATTTCGGAATGATATGATTGTGTTCATCTCATTGTGACTGGATTCTAACTTGGGTCTGTATGCGGGCACGCATCACCGAAGCTATTTTAATGAATCTAATATCTAATATCTTTGGATTTTCCTGAGCCTGGAGCCTAAAAAGTTTTGGTCGTTCACATATGGAATGAGGACAAGAAAGAATGGAAGACAGAACAGGAAATTAGTTCCCAACTGAAAGGATGCCACAGACGAGGACCCAATCTCCGGTACATTGTCAGCCTTATTCCACAGGAATGGAAAGATATCTTGACGGAAGCCGCTCCATGGAAACCCGGAGCAAGAAATCACTCCCTCGAGAGCCTTCCAATTCTCCCACATGCAACGAGACTCACACACCAATGCCACCTTCCTCTCCTTCCCAATCTCCATGACTGCTACCAGTATGCCGGCCATCCTGGATAACAATGTTGAGTCGGTAGTCTTGGACTCGTTCCTACTTAGGACGATAAGGGTCCTTGGTTCTTGGCCCAAGTCAATCTTTAGACCGGACACAGCAATCCACAACTTGGAGTTTGACCCAGCTGAATGGGCATGGACGCTGGATAAGACTAAGAACATCAAATCCAAAATCCCAATTCATGAGTATACAGTTAAACTAGGATACAGACTGTCACTGAAAACCAAAGACCCCTACCCTATCATTAAAAAAAGATGGCACAATCTACTCGGCCAAGAGGCAGACAATCTCACGCAGATCCAGTGGAAAAAGTTCAAGCTTATCAGGCCAATCAAAATCAGAAGCTTACAATGGCTAATCACCTACGCGGCATTTACCAGTAAACCAATGGCTACACACGAGGCGTAAGAGTTCAGATCCCAACAGCTTGGACTTGTGCATGGTCTGTAATGAAGGGACGGTAGAAGATATAGTTCACTGCCTAATACATTGTAGGGAGGTGACAGACTACTGGGCAAGAGCCTCGGCACTCTGGGATTCCCTATTCCCAACCCCCTTCCCCGAACATCCCATCCAACTTCTCCTCTTGACTAACATCCCTCAACAGCTCCAGAAGGCAGAAAAAATATGGTTTGGACTCATCAGAAAGGTTACATTATGGGTCATATGTAAAGAAAGATGCAGCAGAACGATTCAAGGACTGTCCAACCCACGTGAGAAAGTTTGGGTGGAGACGAAAATGATGATACAAGCCGAAATCCTCTGCAGGTGGAGGAAGACCAAACAGTCATGGACGGAGGACGAGGAACAACGAAAGGAGGAGAGATGGACCTTCAGCAAGAACTGGTTGAGAAACGGCAAGATTGCGGAGTTACGAGGAGACCACATTTGTTGGAAAGAGTGGCATAACTCAACCCCAGGAAGGATTCACCAGCAACAGATAACTGCAGGTGGACAAGACATTCCATGATCAGACATCCAAGAGGGGGGGATAAGACGGAAGTAAGGGTGTCATAGAGCAGGATATCAACCGAGGGTTTAGGGATTAAGGGTTTAAGGGATTCTCAGAGAGGGTAGAGAAATTTAGGGCAGCGGCCAGGGTGGCTCTCGGGTAAGAATGGATAAAAGAAAAGTACAAGGGACAGACAAGACAACCGGGCAAACTCTTTCTCGGAATTTAGAACTATCTGACAGTCCTAGCCACTAGGTCTGAGAGGAGAGAGGGTATAAAAAGAGAGAGAAAAAAAAAAAAAAGAGATTCTATGCAAGTGACACAAGGCAAGACTTTCCCTACCAGACGAGGACTAGCAACAGCGCACAGTATAGTTGAAGTTTACTAAGACCTGGCTGATTGAACGGTGGAAGGACTGGCACAACTCGTAAGGTGCTAGGAGAGGACCAAGATACCTCACGACCAATGGAATAGTCCCGATACAGACAATAGTGTCCTATGCTGAGCAACAAGGGTATCAGGCGGGAACTTTGGAGAGGAAGGAGACTCAGAGTTGTGGCTGGAGGCAGAGCGTACCACTTTCTCTCGTTTTGAATAGGTCTATTTGACAGGCCCAAGAAGGGAACCTGAGAAGAACAAGTTGTTAGGGCAAGCTGACAGTCAATCCTCCCTCAAGGGAGCAATCAATGCTGGTTAGGGGTCCTTCAGCCATATGGAAGGAAGCGTGAGTGTGTTTCATGATGTAATATTTATTCTGACTTGCCGGGGGAATATGAACCGGACTGATGCTCCCCAGAATGGAAAAGGAGCCAGGCCCATAAGGACCTGTTTGTTTAAAAAAAAAAAAAAAAAAGTAAAAGTTTTAGTCGTACCATGTGCAGCAAACAGGGAGAAAAATTGTGCATACCCTGATGTCAAAATTTCAAAATTTTATTTTGCCATCGAGAGGTTTCTTGTTTCGCAACTTTTGTTGGTTTTCTTTCCAAAGAGAGCAACGCTCGATAGACATCATTTTTTTTTTGGATTATTTTGTCAGAATGTGTGTCAAGCCACCGAAGTCAACGCACTCAAAATTTCTCACACTGCTCTTGGAATCCCCTTCCAAACTGGTCCGTGGCAAAAGCCCATAGCCGGCTCATATGCCACCGCAAACCACCTGTGTGTACCGGGTGCTGAGGCCCCCTACCACCGCAAACCACCTGTGTGTACCGGGTGCTGAGGCCCCCTAACAAACCCGCGCGGTAGGCTGCTTGATCCACTGCATTAATGCCTAAGAACGTGGCAGGTAATGGTGGTTTAAACCACCAGTACCCCAGGGCCCAGGGGGTCTTAGGCCCCCTCTGGGGAGGCTCTGAGGCAAATGCATATGGAATGCATATGGACCTCCGCGGCGCACCAATTCAGCCACTGCGTTAACGGCCTAAAAACGGTGAATCTCACCAGCTCCAGACGCAACTAGGATCAACAGATTGGGTTGGGTACTTTTTCGTCGTTGTGTGGGTGGTGGTGAAGACGGCTGTTCTTGGTGAATCTCACCAGCTCCACTCTGCTTGGGTGGAAGTACCCCTTACCTGGATTCTTTCTTGTGGACTGTGGATTGCGAAGATCTATCGACAGAGATGAAGAATTATGGTACCTTGGCTTCTTGAAACTGGGTAGTTAACACAGAGTCAGTGGCGGGTTATCTGTCTGCTGGATGTGCTTGCTGACTGCTTAGCACTCTTCGGATCATATGAGATACCTACGTGTGCTGGGTCAGCCTCTGCGTAGTTTACCCACTCCCCGCATGGTCTCTGTTGCAGAGAGGCAATTCCTTTCCCCCTGCATTCTCAGCCAAAGTCCTGCGCAATCGTGAAGGTCGATCTGCAGCGCTTCTCCTTCTTTTTGTGAAGCTCGGTCTTGAGATCTCAGATTTATTTGTATTCCATTCAATGATGCCCATTCTCTTAGCGGAGCCTGTCGGCTAATATCCATTTCCATCCACCATCTTGACTGCTGAACCTGTTTCGCCATTTGCCTGGGTTTTGCAGGAGAATTGGGATGCGGATTGGCAGAATACGTCAAGTAGCAAAGTTGCTTATCTTGTGAAGGAGTTGAAAAAGCGACTTCCGAAAGACGGGCATGAGGCCCGACACCGACCAAGAGAGTGTGATGTGGGGAGTGTGCCAGCAGCAACATGGCCAACGGCCCGAAGAACAAGTCGTTCATCGATGCGGGATGCAGTTGTGGGAGGTGGTCTGGAGATAGAGAAGGCAATTGTGTTCTCCCAGTTCCTGGAGCATCTATCACTTGTTGAACAACAGGTATCTGATTCAGCACTGAATTAACTTCCAAGTTCCAACATTTGGGTTTGGTGGATTTACTGAATTGCACTCTCAAGCCCTGTTTTCCAAAACCTGTTCATGAACATGTGCTTTGGCTTGCATGTCTGGAGTGAAAGAAAAACGATATGTTATTGCTTTTCTTTTTTTGTTTTCTTTGTGATCCCACATTCATGGGGTTGCATCTGGATTCAAAATCGGGTCTGCATTTCGACATTTTGTGTGTGTACCAACTGCTCTATGCCCGTTGGGGCTCTTCAAATTTCGGACGCTGACAAAACAACAATGCTAAAATTCGAAAAAGGATTAAAAAATCATAATAATCATAATAATGACCTTTTTTGAAATCCCAGAATAGAAGGGGCTGAGTTGTTTTGGAAAATATATATATTATGTGGCAATATATATCCTGATGAGTTGGTGAAACTCGGACGAAACAGTTTGTCACAGCCCCTCCTTTGTTGTCCTCTTCTCCCTCTCTGCCTACGGTTTACCGGGCAGTTCTATTTGACGCTCAGAAAACGACCGGGACTGACACCTAGAGGCTAGAAGCAACCCACATCCATTCGCTTGAATGCGTGCTATATTTTTGCACTGCTTGCCAGTGGGTGGTACTTTGTGTGCATGGAAGGTAGGAAGGGAATTAGGGTGGGGTTGGGAGCGGGTGGAAGAGCTCTGCAGGAGAAGTGCCGAGGGGGTTACAACGTTCTTCACACGAGGGGGAGGCTGTGGGGTAAGGAAGTGTCAGTGGAGCAAGTAGAATATTTTCTGCAGGAAGGGCAAGTGGGGGCACCGGGAGGGTCAAAGGGGCTTGCAACGTCATTAACATGCAATTGCAGGCGGAGAGGGAGAGGGTTGAGGGTGATTGCGAAATGACTCACACTCGGTGTAGCAGGGGAGTGTCTATGGAAGTTGCAGGATGCTGGATGCCAATGGGAGCACGAGAGGGAGTGTGTCAGGGCGATTGTAAGATATGTCATCCGTATGGGCCGTAGGGGGAGTGTTGAGGGGAATTACAGTCTGCCTTGCGCACGGCAAGAAACAGAATGGCGGTGACAGCTTGCTTTGCATGCCTGTGGGAGGGGTTGGATGGGAGTATCAAGGGTGGGGCTTGAAAGGTGTTTCACAGGCAACATGGAGTGAGAGGGGCAGACGGTCTTAGGGGGGTTGCAAAATGCTTTGCACAGCACAAGGCGGGTGAACTTCGAGTGAGTCCCTATCAAGGGTAGGGATGGCAAGGTGCTTCACGGGGAACATGGAGTGAGAGGGGTAGAAGGTTTTTAGGGGGGGGCAAATGCTTTTTGCACACAAGGCAGGGGACTTCGAGTGAGTCCATATCAAGGGTGGGGCTTGCAGGGGGCAGAACGTTTTAGGGAGCTTGCATAATGCTTTGAACAACACAAGGCAGGGGGACTTCGAGTGAGTCCCTATCAAGGGTGCGGTGCTTCACGGGCAACATGGAGTGAGAGGGGCAGAAGGTTTTTTTACTGGGGTTGCTTAATGTTTTGAACAACACAAGGCAGGGGGACTTCAAGTGAGTCCCTATCAAGGGTGGGGCTTGCAAGGTGCTTCACAGGCGACATGGAGTGAGAGGGGCAGAAGGTTTTAGGGGGGTTGCATAATGCTTTCTGCACACAAGGCAGGGGGACTTCGAGTCAGAGGTGTTGCATAATGCTTTGCGCTCAAGGTAGGGAGAATGGGGTGTGGTTGGGAAGAGCCTTCTCAAGGAAATGGAAAAGAGAAATACTAGAAGTCATTAAATTATTAACTGAATTGATTCAGAGTGCACAGCATGAGGCCCTCCGCCTAGGTTGGAAAGGGGCTGCTCCGGCCGGAAACTGTAGGGCGGGCCCCCTTGGAAATTTGGCAAGGCCTTTCTGAGGTCGATGCGAGTAGAAAGGGTTTGGTTGCTGCACACAGTATCTCCAGCCGACCGGTAGGCCCGATCGGTTGAAGATGCTGGGGCCAATAAAGATGCTGAGCCCCAGAGCACTTACGGTCGAGCCCCAGGCACATTCTCGTAAGGGCCCTGGATGCATCCAGAGCCTGCCTCACCCAGCGAGCTAAGCACAAAAGGAAGTGAGGCCTCTCACTTCAGGACATTCTGACTGGCTGGACGGTGGCAGCGCTGGCTTGCTGGACGAGCGTCACGCAGAGGGAGGAAGGGCGCTGGCGGGGCGGGGCGCGAGGAAGAAGCTGCTTGAGCGCAGAGTGAGGAAGGGCGCTGGCTGGGCAGGGCAGGGCACGAGGAAGAAGCTGCATGGGCTACTGGCGCCATAGCCTGGGAGGTTGAGTGGAGGTTCTTGGGCGCGAGGGACAGTGCGGGGAGTCGAGGAAACGCTGATGCGCGTGGGCGCTTTACCTGGTGGTGATGAGTGGGCCGCTACAGTCGGAGTCTTCATTCGTCATTGGGCTGCTGCACTTCGTGAAGACCTGTTGCTGTCGTTAGAGTCGGTCTATAGGCGCTGTCTGATTGTAAGTCTGGGCACTGAGCGCCATATAGGATGAGCGACATTCTCGACATTGGTGTTGGAGGTGAGAAGAGTGCTTTCATTATCAATCGACTTCGATATTCTGCTCTTACTTATTTGTATCTCAGGGTGCAATCTGGTTTCGGTTCGTGCACAAGTTATCTGGATTTCCATAGAATGCTGCAATTTGGTTTCTGTCATTCCCATTGCTCATTTTCCTTGCAGGAGCATGAAACATGGCTCAGAAATGAATAAAAGAGATTCTAAGTTCATTTAACCTGATTTTTGAAACAGAACCTGAAGAATAAAAGTTCACAATCAGTGTGACGTGGCTAAGGTAGAGCAGCCAGGTCGGGGAAGAGAGAGGGAGGGAGTGAGAGCACACACACACACACACACTCAACTCGACACGGACTTGACACGACTCGATGGACGCAGACACAAAGTGGCAAAGTCGCAATCTTGGTTCAGTACACAATGTCGCAGCAAGTCACACTGAAGCACAAGCACTAAGGCCGAAAACTTAATCCCCGAACTCAGCTTGAGTCCGGTCTTAAGTACCGGACTCAAGTTGAGTACGAGAGCAGAAGTGCAATTTGCGTCGGGGCTGAACTGAAAATCGAAGGCGCCGAGTATCGAAATCCAAAAGTGCCAGAGGCGGGATTTGAGAACGGGCGCCAACAGTCAGGAACCGCAGATCAGAGACTCAAAAAAAATAGAATAGAAGCCTGGTGGGTGGTAACCCGCGGACCAGGGATCGAGCCCTGGCTGAGTCTGTAACAATCAGGGATTGCTTGTTCAGGAAAGTAATCCATAGCCGACAGTCTTTTCGAAAGGCCTATTCGCTCCGTCCACCGCCCTGGTTGTATCTGATCATGAGAGCAGTCAGATTTGCTGGACCATGAATGGCGGCAAAAGAAAATCTCATCGACAAGAAAAGTAACTCCAGTCTTTGATCTGAACGACAGCAGTTGTGATTTGTGTTGCCGAGGCTTGTGGCAGTAGTTTTCTCTCGAGGCTGCCCCTGTTAGCTGCCAAGCTGCTACTGTGCTACTCTGCGGCCTTGTGAATTCATGGTCACCTCTGCTGCTACTGGGCATAGCCAAGCTCTTACTGCCCTACTCTGGGGCACAGAATCCAAGGTCATTATTATCAGCGTTGATTTGAGTGCTGTCCGCTGCCAACCAGGTCATCAGAGGTTTGATTTCTGCTTCTTTTTTTGTCTGTTCTTTTTTCGAGGGCATGGAAGTGCATTTTGCTGCCTGCCATGGTAGTTTGTCAGCAGGGTCTCTTTTCGTACATCTGAAGCCTTGAAGCGCGCAAGGCCACAGCAAACCAGTGGTAGTTTGGGAAGAAGTAAAACAATGGAAGGATAAGAAAGTGTGTGGAACACAGAAAGGAGGATGGAGGTTTGGGTTGGGAAGGGGGAAGAGACTTGCTCAAGTTCTTCTTATCAGCGTCTGATATGCTTGTGTGTGTGTGTGTGTGTGTGTGTGTGTGTGTGTGTGTGTGTGTGTGTGTGTGCCTTTGAGAGAGAGAGAGAGAGAGAGANGGGGGGGGGGGGTGGAGGGCGGAGAGAACACAGGGAGAACAGGAAGGCTGAGTTAGTTGTAGTGGAGCAAGACTTCAAAATTCTGGAACCACATGCTTTTGAACCTGAGCAGCAGGATTCAGGCCTCAAAAAGTGGCAGGGCGCGAGGAAGGGCGCCATCTGAATCGACATCCGGACATGTCAGCCTGAGAACCTCACCAATCTCTGTGGTCTGACGGCAACTAATATGTCTTCACATTCTCCACCACCCGTTTTATACACCATCAGACTGCCTTGCAATTGCCCTTCAGCTTGATGCTGATGTTTCCCAATGACAGCCAGAGGATTGTAATTATACCAGCGAAGGAGGCTTTACCATTGCTGTCCTACAAGTAGCAATGAGGGACCGTCAACTTGAACTACGCAATGCTCGAGCAGGTGAGTGGTTTAATCCTCCATCCCACATCTCTGCCTGCATTGTGCATGGCCCTGGCCATTACATGGCCATCGTACATGCCCTTGACCACTGGGAGCTGTGGGACAACGGCACCATGGCCCATGCCATGATTGATGTCACTGATTTCTTACAAAATGATGCTGTTTTCTTGCCACAACAAACCGTCTCCAATCTCTTTTATGTCGAGGATCATTCCTCTGGCCCCGTGCTGCAGCAAGACAATGTACCAACACTCTGCGACCTTCTCCTTTGCACAGCCACAAACACTGTTACACTCGGCTGTAGCCGCCATCGTCTCTGTCACAATCACTACATTGACATGGTTTCTGCATCCATGTGTGCAGAGGACTGTCCCACCGGTCCTGACTGCAGGCACCCTCCGCATCCGGACACTATATGTCCATTTTGCGGCCATGGGCGCTATACTGAATGCATGTTCTTTTGTGGTGACCGTTCTTCTTTCATTTTGGCCTGCAATCAACATGCCATTTCTCGGGGGTGTATGGTGGACATGCTCAATGCCAGCCGTCGTGGCAATTGTTGCACTGAGAATGCTCAGTTAGGTCTTCCATGTGTTCATCCAGCTCATCCTAACAATGTCCTCTCTGTCATCAAGGACAGACTCATTCTTGAGCCTTTTCTTATCCTCTTTTGCGTTCATCTTCACTCCACACTCCATATTTTCCCTTACTTTCCGTTTATCGTTGCTTTGTTTGTCTGCTCTCCATCTCTCCTCCCTGTGTTTATCCCCTCCCCCTTCACTCTGCCTCTTTCTCACAGCTTGCAAGTGGGCTGTTATGGCACACGGGGATGGCGGCAGCTCGCTCTGAACTCCATCAATGTAGCGAGCCTTGTACGAGAGAGGCGCGGGGAAGGGGGAGTTAAAAGAAGAATGAGAAAAATGTATGGTTTCAGTGTGCCCTTCGTGTTTGTCTTGTTTTTAATTTCTTATTTTTGCCTTTTGTTTCGCAAAGTGCGCTCTTTTAGTTCATAGTTATGTCACTTATGTGACAATGTATATACATGCTGCCTTCTCCTCATATGGGGGACAGCTGCATTTTTACTACTACATAGTCTTCTCTCAATATTATCCTTTTTTATCTTCCACTATCCATCACGGGCTATGTACTTGGGTTTAGGGGCTAAGCCATCGGAGGGTTTTAAATGGGTCCATTTGAATGTCAAGCTGTTCAGGTAGTAGCAGCCATGCTCACTGATGAAAGATAGTAGGAAAAGTGAAATGAGAATCAAACTGAAGCAGATGGCATTGCTTGGATATTGAAGCTTGACCGATCTCCGTCTTGTTTCTTGCAGATGAAACCACTAACCAGAGTGTGCTAGCTAATAGTTTTGGTTAACTTTGGGAATCGGTTATCTTGTGTGCAGCTGACGGAAGCTGGAATTCGTCACGCAAGCATGTACAGTCCAATGCCAGCGTCTTTGCGGGTGAGAGCGTTTTCTCTGCTCAGTGCTCACTCATTCCAGGATTTCACCACTTCTATAAACAACCTTCTAAAGCACCTTTACAAAAACCCACTCGCACAAACACACACCCTAAGCTCCCCACTTACATGAATCAACCTCCACGACACCCTAAACCACCTGTACAACCTCATTATCAGCCTGTATAATAACTGTGGAACAGCCTGCGTGCGTAAATGCTACTTTGGAAGAAATACAGCAACTCGCTCAGGCCGTATCTGCGACCTCATCGTACTCTTGTAACATCCGCTGGATGGTCCGATCGCTGTTCCCTCGGGTAGAGGTAATAATGGAGATGCATCTCAAATCTTCGACACAGTGTCGGCAAAGTATGACGAAAAGAGTTATACGACAACGATGCACCGACCTCTTTTCGCTCGGGTAGAGGTAATAATGGAGATGCAGCGCAACCTCGGACACAGTCGGCAAAGTACGAAGAACAGAGTTATTCAACAACTTGATTATTTTACAAAAACGCCGCACCAAAGTTGTGGTTCCTATCGCTCGCAACGTGTTTCAGCAGGCACATGTAACCTGCCTCACAAGGGGGTGAAACCGACACTCACATTGAATGAGAGGGGGCTTGTGTTGTTAGAAGACTCGAAACTCAAGTCTCAAGTACTGTGTTTGAGACCTGCTGTTTTGTGAACTGTCAAACTTACTGTGATTCCCCTGTTTCAAGTCTGGCCTTTTGACCTATCAGTCACCACCGTCTTCCACAAAATTCTTTACACCTGTTGTGAATGTTTGGTCAGGGACCCAGGGTACTGGTGTGGTGCTTTTGACTGCGCTTCATGCTCAGTAGGCGCTCAACCCCGCAACTGCCACAGACCATGTCGTGAGCGGATGTGAGTAGGCGCTCACCCCCTCAGGTTGGACAAACCTTTGCCAATAGTTGGTGTCCCAGAAAAGATTAGGGTAAATGACCAGCTGGGCTCCAATCAAAAACATCAGGGGAAAAGAAAAAAAAAAGAGCATCCGAACCACCTCGCCTGAGGATTTACCAGCAATCCCGAAGGCAGGTAGGTGCAAGGTTGTGCCGCTGATCGTGTGGGAACTTGTAGGGGACATTGTTACAGGGCTAACTTTCTGCTGTGGGGACTCTGCCAGGCTATATTTCTGCTCTGGGGGATATTTTGTTCTGTTCATCTTATGGCGTGTGGACAGAAACTTGGGTCTGCGTATCAACAGTTAATGGATAGGGGCAGGTTGATCCTGCTGCCTAGGGAACGTAGCAGTTCGGCAAAATCCTTGATGTTGCAACAGTTGTCTGGTCTTCTCCAGCCACCAGCGCTGACCCCGCGCCGATAATTACTTTATTCAAGTTTATTGTCACTACATATATAACTATCGCTAATTTCCTGCCTGTGACAAGCAGACGATCGGGGCCCTCCGCAACGGTCCCGGTCGTCTGCTGATTGTTTTTTCTTAGAAGGTGACCGGTCCCGTGGTGCACCACATACGGTATCAGGCCTGCGTGCCTACCCCGGCATTGCGCATTACCAGGCCCGCGTGCCTACAGGGCCAGCGCCGGTACCGCGAACTGTACTGGGGCAATGCACACGTGGAACATATAGTAACCAACTTCAGGTGTGTGCGCGTGAGAGGGAGAAACTCTGACTAGGACAGCGCGTGCAAGAGAGAGAAACTCTGACTAGAACAGTGTACTACCTGTCCCGATCAGTTTCATATCTGATCCGTGGTCCATCGAGACCATTAAAAAGAAAAAAAGAAACAGAAAATCCACATGGGCGCACGCAAAGAAACAGAAAATATGCGCGCATGGGCGCACGCAAAGAAACGGACAATCTGCATGGGCACAGGCAAAGAAACGGGGAATCTGCATGGGCGCATGCAAGAGAGAGAGAGAGAGAGAGAGAGTATAGACCTTTCTCGAGGGGGGGGGGGGGGGAAAGGGAGGAGAGATCTGCTTAGCAATAATGGCACTCTTATACTTGATCGAACAAGTGCCCCAAGGCACCCTCAACCACACCATTTCAGCCCAGATCACCCACGGAGGGGGGGGAGGGGGAAGGGACGAGAGATCTGCTTAACAATAATGGCACTCTTATACGTGATGGGGACTTCTAAAAAGTGCCCCCAGGCTCTCTCCACTACACCATTTCAGCCCAGATCGCCTACGGAGCAGTCAAACTGAATAAAGAAAAGAGCATGAATGTATGCTACTTGCTGGGCTACTGTACCTTCCTTCATTTTTGCGGGCGCAGCCGCAACAGGTCCCCTAGTATTCATAATATACTTGATATTCTTAGTAAGTTAGTAGATATGAGTTGGATATTTAATACTGAGCTAAAACTCTTGCACTTTTAGCTTCTGAAAGAGAGAAATCTCTAGTTCACCCTTTTTACTAGCCATTTTAGCTGCCCAGTAATGTTGAATATTACTTCTGAGTCCTGACTCAAAAAAATTATGTTATGTTTTGTTATTGCAGGCGAAGTCCTTGCGGCGGTTTCAAACTGATCCACTTTGCTCAGTATTGCTGATGGATGGCACTGGGGCTCTGGGCCTTGACTTGAGCTTTGTGGCTCATGTTTATCTCATGGAACCGATTTGGGATCGAAGGTGCAAATCTTCTCCTCCCGCTCTTCCTTTTGCATTTTCGGATCTGTCTCACTTTTTTTTTTCCCACCTGTTTTCTGGCTTGGAAAGTCAAATACTGTAATGAACCCAATCAAGAAGCTCGCAATATCAAAATAATGTTATAAAAATAATAATTATAATAATATAAAAAAAGCTTGCAATATCAACACCATGCATTGTATCTCACGATGCTCAATGATTGGCAATCACCAAGGGACAGCAAGTTGTAGCATATCAGAAAGTGAAATGCACTGAAAGCCTAGGATCTAGCAATGACGAAAGTGGCAACAACCAGCAGCATAGGTGCAACATTCACAAGGTGTCAATGTGCGCGACGCAAAGAGTGAAACAACGGGAAATCAATAACAACACATTCGTATCATCATCATCATAGGCTGGGAAGCAGCRCAGCTGCAGTCTCGAAATGGCGCAGCAGGGAGTCTCCAAAATAGCGCAGCAGCCAAGTTCCTGAACCAGCATAACGCTGGATTTCTCCTGGTACCTTGTGTGTCCGAACWGGGCAATGGCCCAGSTTAAGTAGTGCTGGGCCAGGACTGAAAACCCACGGCCTGCGTTCTGGACCGTGCAGATYGAAACTCCGATCCWYGGTCCAGATCRCAGGCTTCGAAAACTGGTTCAGTCCTTGGCCTAAAACGGCCTGCCTGGGTCCCTACCGGACRTCCAGGCCCTGTCYAGGATTAATCTTCCTGGTACCTGGCTTCAAACCGGTCCTGTGCGGACGTACCCGGCCTCAACGTCGGCCTGGGTTCGAACAGGTCAAAATCTGATCGAAAACAAAAGAAAAGGTCCAAACGTTTTTAGGAGCTCAGCCTCTGGGCCTGAATCTGGCCCTGGCCCTAGAAGCGTGTACCTGGCCACAAAACGGACAACAGTACACCCGTTAGAAAAACAGCAGCAAATAAATAAAATAAAGATTAAAAAAATAATCTAAAGCTGGCGTTTTTCTGATGCAGGCCCAAGTAAAAATGCCATAGGGCCTTCAGGTTGCGGTGACCCGACCTGGGGGCCCTATTCCAACCTCGGGTCCCGTGAGGGGCCCGTGTGTAGGCTTTCAGCATGTAACACGCCCCCCTCCTTATGAAGACGAGCCGGGGCGCGGGCGAAGCTGCCGATCCAATGGCGGAATGTAGCGAGGATGGCGAGGAGCTGGAGTGCTCTGCGTAGTCTTCCCTTTGCTAAGATAGCGTGAGAGAACGGCGGGGGCTGTGGCCTGCGGTTCCGAACGCGTCAGCCAATGGTCAGCCTTGTGGCTGCAGTAGGAAAAGTGAAGTAGAAACTCTGTTTCTTTGTTGCCATGGCGCCGGTCGGTGATGATGTAGCCGGCCTCCTGAAATTCGTCCATGGAAGGAGGGTCTTGCGTATGTCGACCGGGAAACTCGTCGGACTCCGCTGAAACAAAAGGAGCGAGTTTGGAACAGTGGAACACCGTGTGGACGGGCAAGTGAGGTGGCACCGCGATGCGGAACGAGGGCCCCTCGGGATCATCACCAGTTGCAGAGAGAATGCGCCAAGGCCGCATCCACTTGGGAAGGAGCTTGCGAGAGATGTCTTGCTCAAGGCTGAACTCCGCTGCGGAGACCCAAACCAGATCGCCGGCGCGGAACGGGCAAGGAAGGCGATTGCGGTTGGCTTGACGGCTCATCCGTATTTGCGTCTTCGACATCTGGTCCCGTGCCTTGACAAGAAGCTCTTGCATGCGACGAAGGAACGCAAGATGGTCGTCGCTCTCGGCTGTACGCGGCAAAGTAGCGCCCAGCGGCGATGAGATGGGTGAGCCATGCTCAAACTCGAACGACGACATCCCGATAGCCGGGTGGATCGATGAGTTGTAAGCCAACTCAACGTCTGGCAAGCGTTCAACCCAATCAACCTGGTCGGGACGGATGAGAGTGCGGAGAAGGACTTGAGCGGTCTGATGCGCCCTTTCCGTTTGACCATCGGTTTGCGGGTGGCGAGCCGAACTCGGCTTCAAGGATGAGCCCCATCGCTTGACGAGGGCGACCCAAAAGTCGGAGAGAAAGCGAGTGTCCTGATCGCAAACGATCTCCTTGGGGTAGCCCTTGGAGCGAATCCAACCGGTGTATAAGACCTCGGCTAACTCCGGTGCCTTTGCGGGATAGCGGCAAGGCAAAAACATGGCGTACTTGGTGAGGCGGTCGACGACCGTGAGGATCCCATCAACGCCGGTCTTGTGCTTCGGGAAGGGGCCGGTGATATCCATAGCAATTGCTTTCCGTCGCCCAAGGGGCACTGGTAATGGGTGTAGCTCGCCGAACGGACGATGGTTGCGTGACTTGCAACGCCGACAGGCTTCGCACGACTCACAATAGCGGGTGGCGTCCTTGAGAAGGTCGGGCCAATAGAACCGCTGGCGAAGTCGGCCAAGTGTACGGTTGACACCAAAATGTCCGGAGGCGGGCTCATCGTGAAACTCGCCAAGAAGCCGTGTGCGCAAGTGTGAATCATTCGGCACACAAAGAAGATCCTTACCCCGTGAATGCACAAGTAAGTAGCCCTCTTGGATCCGATAATGCGAAGGCACTGGATTCGGAGAGGAGCAATTCGCGTACTTGTCGCGAAAGTGGGGGTCGGCTTGATAGCCGCGGATGAAGCTCTCCCGCAAGTCGTCGTCGATCTCGAAGGTAGAGTAGACTGCGGTGCAAAGATCCGGTCGCCGTGAGAGGGCGTCCGCAAAGCGGTTTGACTTCCCGGTTATGTGATCGGGGAAAAAGTCAAACTGGTCGATGAAAGCCATCCAACGGGCAATGGTACTGTTAATCGTGTCTTGCGATTTGTAGAATACCAACGGATTGTTATCCGTTACCCATCGGAATGCTTTCCGACCAAGGAGGAAATGTCGCCAACGCTTGAGGGCATGGACGAAGGCAAGAAGCTCCTTCTTCCGTGCGTCGTCGATCGAATGCACGGGATGTACTTTCTTGCTAAAGTACTCGATCGGGTGCCAGTCCGTGCCATCGTGCTGCTCAAGGACGGTCCCAATGCCATAGCCCGACGCATCGGTAGTGACGCGCGTAGCTAGAAGTGGGTCGTATATATGTAACACCTCGGCGGACAAGAGTGTCGCTTTGAGTGTCTCAAAAGAATGGCGCGCGTCGTCGAAGTCAAAAGGCCGCTCCTCGCTTTGTAACTTGCTTAGGTTGGCCGCGATCTTCGAGTAACCCTTGATGAAGCGCTGATAATAACCGGCCAAGCCGAGGAAGGATCGGACGTCCGTCACATTCTTCGGCTCGGGCCACTCCTGGATGGCTTGAATCTTGTCCGCCAACAGACGAATGCCTTCCGGAGAGACAAAATGACCCAAGTATTCAAGCTCTTGCCGGACAAACTCGCATTTGTCGCGGTTAGCTTTGT